CCCCGCCTCCCCTGCCTGCAGTCCCCGCCTCCCCTGCCTGCAGTCCCCGCCTCCCCTGCCTGCAGTCCCCGCCTCCCCTCTCTGCAGTCCCCGCCTCCCGCCTGATGGGTGGGTCGGGCTCAATGTCGTGCCTTTCTTCTGTTGCTCAGAGTGTCCCAAGTCCTGCGCAGAAGGACCAGATTCTGCAGCAGGCTACACAGTGCCTGAGTGAGCTCATCAGGATAGCGGCCCGGCGCCGCCGAAACTACATCCTGGACCAGGTGAGACGACATGGCAAGTGTGGGTACAGGGACGGCCATAGTGTGGCTGCGTTTCCGCTCATTCATCCCCCACTCCCCAGGCCAACGTGTACTCCTCAGCGCAGCGGCGCAAGATGCAGCGGTTCAGTGGCTTCCAGCGGCGGGCGGTGGTGGTTTGTCCGAAGGATGAGGAGTGGAGGAGGCGCCTGGAGCTGCACCAGCAGCAGGAGGGAGAGGAGGTGCCGGAAATGTCCCTCCTGAAAGTGAAGGGTGAGGCTGAGTTGAGTGGGGCTTTGATGGAGGAGTGGGGGTCATGGTTTAAGGGGCGGAGCCAGACTTTGCGAGATAACGAGGTGTGTCTGACCTGCTGTCTCCTCACTCTCACTGCTGCCCGTCTCTCGTTTCCCAGTGAGCTTCTCGCTGCCGGAGCAGGGTGACTATCTGGAGGAGGTGCTATTCCCTGAGCTGTCCCGCAGCGAGGCCGAGAAGCTGCTGGCCGGGTATAAAGAGGAGGCGCGGCGCCTCCTCCCCACCCCGCCCAAGCGCAAGAAGCCCCGCACCTGGCGAAACAAGCCCCTCCCCTCTGGACCCCCGGGCCGTAACCATAGAGACTGGGGCCATGGTGAGTGAAGGGGGGGTTGCCATGCATGTGGGACACAGTAACAAGGGGAAGCAAGGGAACCGTTACCATAGTGATTCCAGAAATAGCTGTGTGCCTGCTCCTTTTAATCTGTGGATTAAGCAGCTTCTCCGTTTCCTCGCAAAACATTGGTTTGAACCAGAACTTTGGCTTAAGGTGAAGTTTTGAATGGAAAAAGCCATGCTGCTGTGGAATAAAGAAGTAAAATGCATCCCCTGTAGCTGTAGGCCAAGTACTGATATTTAGATGAACAGCAGCCATTGTAGATGTGATGCATTTCACGCTCGTGGCGTGTCTGTGTGCCGTCCTGCGCAGGCTGGAACAGAGGCAGCTACAATCCTCGCCCCTATGGACAACAGCCGTTCTGGGGCCAACAGCGCCGAGAGGTGAGATTGGGGCCCCACTAGCCAGTGGGTGACTGTTACACACTGGGGGAGTGGAAATTAATTTTGTTAGATCATTTACCTTTAAGTCTCAGGAAAGCAGTCAGAGCTTTGCATCTCAGGAAATTGAGTCTGATCCTTAAAACTAATGCAGAAGCTTCTAGATAGTTAGTTAGGGTGGTTGGTATAGATCATTACTGCATCAGAATAGGGATCTCCTGTTTTAAGGTTTCTCCAGAGGTAGAAGGTTCAGAAATTACGAATCCAGACCAAGATTTTATTTCAACTGACCAGTTGAGTATAAAGAGTCAGTCGCAGAGGACTCAGCTGGTTGGTTATAACAAAATCTTGGTCTGGATTTCTACTTTCTTGACCTGAACTTTCCACCTCTGGATTTCTTTTACAGTGAGCCATTTAATTCAGAAGAAACTAGGGTGTTTGAATCTTGCCTGTGCTTTGACACTCTGACAGACCTAAATTCTTTGTGAATTTTGTGAGTTTGTCCTTGGTTCCACAGACAGTGTCCATAGTTAGCATCGATGCCTGTTGTACGAGCCTCCTACAGGCATACCCATATACGCTGCCTGGCTATGAGTTCGGGACATGAGTGGATGCTAATGGCTGCTCTTTGTCAGGACTTCCGGCCGTTCTATGGTCAGCAACGTACGGAGGTAGACCGCTTCTACGGCCGTGAGTACAACCCCCAGCGGTACCGGGACTATTACCGGCAGTATTCTGGGGAGGTGAGTGGCCACGCAAATGGGAGTACAGTGGTACCTTGGTTCTCGAACTTAATCCGTTCCGAACTCCGGATCGAATCTTAAAAAGTTCGAGTTCTGATTGAGTTTTTCCCATAAGAAATAATGGAAAACCAATTAATTGGTTCCCGGCCCCCAAAATTACACCTAAATGGTTTTTTTTTGTTTGTTTTTTTTAAAGCAGCATTTAAACACAAAATGAACAGGTTTTTTTCTTAATGGCTTCCAAAACGATAAAGATCGTTCACGGTTCGACTTCTGATATTCAGATCGAGTTCTAGGTCAAACTGGTTTGTTCGACTTTCAAGAAATTCGAGTTCTAGTGAGTTAGAGAACCGAGGTACCACTGTAACTCGTGTATGATCGTCTGGACACCCTTTGAAAGACAGTGACGTTTAATGTAAAATGTTCTTTCTCTTTTCAGTGGAATTCATATTACCAAGACCAGGGTTACTATGGCAACAGAAACTATGGCTATGGTGGTGGCCGTCGAGGTCATTGGTAAACGAAATTACGTTGTATCTTAAGGGCAGCTAAAACAACTTCTGTCCTTTTTTGTTTGTTTTTTGTTTTTTTTTTTTAAAATAACCAGTTTGAAAATGTATGTAAATCTGTTTTAACCTTAAGGGAACGTAGTTGATTTTAGTGAACAATTTCTCTTCTGCTTTTATTCCAAAGACATTTTTCTTTCTTCTTTTTTTAAATGTTTTTTTTTTTTTTCTTTAAAATCCTCACTATAGATTTCAGAGTGGTTTAAATGATATAACCTGTGAAGAGAATGTGGCCCCACCATGCTAACATTTTAAAATGAGGAATGGTATATGTTTTTGAGCTTGAGTGGGAATTAAAATAGTTTCCCTTTTGTGTTTCTCTTTTTGACAAACCAGCAACAATTGGTAATTTTTTTTTCCCCTCCATTTTGAAATGTCAGTTTATACTTTTTTTTATTTTTCATTTTAAGCCTGAGCTGTCTTAACTTGTAAATCTAAAACCTTCCCCAGGAATCCCTGGACTTTTTATATAGGGTAAAATGTACATATTACGTGTACCCCCCCTCTCTCGCTTGTACAGAGCTTCTGGGGGGGGTTAGGTTCTATGTTCTTCTGTAGGGTCACTCCCCGACCCTGTATATTGGTAGCGTCATTGTCACAAAGGAGTGCTCCCACCACGTGGAGGAGGACAGGGTGGCCGTGGTGGAGCGTAACACTCAGCGACTGGAGAGGTACGCATCACTGTAACCATAGAAACTCGTCGGCACCCAGCATGTGATTTGATGCCGGGGAATGCCGGCTCCTGTGCAGTGATGCGTTCCTGATGGGCTCTGCGGCGCCAGGCTGTACATATATGCCACTCCCCCCCCCCAATCACCCTAGCGTCCTGCTGTACTGTTGTGCTTTCACTTTTTTGGGAAACCTGAAGGCCTGCAGATGGCCGTGGGACACGTATCGCTTACCCCCCCCCCCCCCCCCCCCCCCCCCCCCCCCCCCGTCAGCGTGAGGTGGCACTTTGGCCTCCTGCCGGCTGTCTGTCTGCCGATGGATGGTTCCAGACCTTCTCAGTTGACACTTTCAGCTGAACTTTCCCTCTCTCTCCTAAGTCTTCACTGTCTGCACTGTCATTTCTACTTCACCGTAGAAGAGTGGGGAGGTGCCGCTGAACGGGTTTTTGTAAAGGATTGAGGGACTAGTTGGTATAGGTCTGCTGTGTGATGAAGACCATTTTGTGATGGTTTGTTCATCTGTATCCAAGACTCTACAGTATCCTGTGCGTTAATCCAGTGAGTTAATCCCTCTTAAATATGCAGTTTATAACCAGTTTTCCTCCTCCTACGTGCTCTGCTTGACTGGTAGGATCGTGTGGCTTTTGTCTAGAAATACATCATTATCTTACTACTGATTATCAGAAGCAATATGTAAGCTACTCTGTTTCATATATCCGGTCTGGCTGGTATTTCCTCCTCTTGCTTATTTAGTTTTTAAATTGTATTTTTTTTTAATTGATTTGAATTGACAATGGATGTTTTTTTCCCCACCTCTGGAAAAGTTATGTAAATCCAGTATTATGGGCATGGTCTGCACATTGGGTTATAATGTAATTTGCAAATTCAGGAGTAGTGTTGCCTCAAACCAACCTATGCAGTTAATGCTGTTGAGTTAGTAAGCCCTGGATGATTGGCTACAAATCTAAAATCTTTATATGGCTTGAAGGATATTAAGTAGAGGGCTGAGAGCACAGAATTGTGGGTAATCAGTATTGCAGAGGACATTGCGTCCAATGTAAATGTATTAGCTCTCATGTTCGGGCAGCAGTTTCATTTGCACTCTTATGTGTTTATGTTCTGTGAGCTTTTTTTTTGCCAGTGGGGCGTGCACAAAGTAAATGGTTGATCTCCGAGCCCTGCAGCTCTCCTCCTGCCCTCCCCCAGTCAGATCATTGGTGACTCACGGCTTTTCTACCAGGGGTTGCATGGTCAGCGAGCCCAACCACTCATTTGATAAAAAAATATATATATGCATTTACTCTTTTATTTTGTAGACATCGATGTGACTAGCACAAACCATGTTTTCAATAAATTTTGGAGTTAAAATTAAACTTAATATGTTCATGTTCAAATAGCATTTTTATCTTATTGAACCCCTGTACCCCGGTAAAATCGCCTGTGAGTTGCTTGCTTCTCCTTAGGGTTGTCCACCTTCAAAAACATCTCCCACTGTTGGTGATCCCATACCTAACATTAGATGTTGTACGTATCCGGGGGGGAGGGGGGGGTTCACTTTTAAAATAAATGACTTGCATACTACTGACCAACCCAGCACACCCACCGCATGCTGGATTTTTGGGTTCACATTTGCAGCTGTGTAGACATGCAAAAATGCTATTTGGTGTCTTATTCAAAAATGACTATTTAAATTTTGATTGTAATCTTTTTGAATGAATTGTATTCTATATTGATATTGCTGTAAATTACAAATGTTCATTCAACCTTTTTAAAGAAGGGTTTTTTTTATATATGTGAGTTTGAAAAAGTGATTGAGCTTATAACTGCCCTTTGCACAGCCTCCTATAAACTAATATTCAGTCCTAAATTAGTTTTTTTTTTCTTGTTTATTTTGATGAGAAACATGAACATAATTGTTAATTGGAAACAATGCTGTTGACTGATTTTTCTAAAGCATGAAGGCTGTTTTAAAAAGCCAATAAAACAATATTATTTACTGATTTTAAAAATTGTCCTTGCTTTTGCTCCCTTGTTTTGTTCCTTTTCTCGTCTTCCTGCTCTTTCCCTCCCTGATCTCATGTTGTTCTGTACCCTGATGTTGCTGTGATGCTCTGGTCTGTCTACCCAGGGATACTACACTCTGTCCCCACGTCTTTCCAGTGAGCTTTTCTCTAAGCACAGGATGTCACTCATTTTACAGTTATTTACTATGTCTTGATTCACGTCAAAACCAACATCAAGTGATGTAAACCAGCAGAACAATGTTTGTGTACTTTGTCATTTTATTAGCAATATACAAGTGGGGCAAATGGCACACTACAAATGATGAATGCCCAGATAGGTTTACACTTGTTTCTTTCAACCAACCAGTTGAGTACTCTGTGATTGTGACTCTGTACACTCAACTGGGTGGTTTGAAACACAATCTTGGTCTGGATTTTTAATCTCTGAACCCTAAACTACCCACCTCCGATTTGTTGTGGAGCCACATAACTTCTAACAGAGCAGGAACCTAATAAGATTATTCAATAGCCAGGAGTGCGGCACGAGCTTTCAGGGAATGTAAAGAGGCGATGTAGAAATTTCAGCCAGAGATTTGGTTCTGATATAGAGTGTTTTTTTCTACTTGGGCTGAGGAGGTACAGTAGGTCAGCATTGCATGCAGTCTCTCCTTTACTTGCAGGGCACACGCATATCAACGAATGTCGAGGCAGTGAGCATAGATGAGCAATTTCTCAGGACAAGCAGGAGGAGTCTGATTACGGCCTGATTTAGAGAGAGTATTGTGTAAAACTTTGAAGGACATTCTGTTTTGTTACACCTGTGCCTCACTTTGAAACTAATTGATACTGCCTATCTTACTATGTCAAGGTTGGGAAGAACGGTGTAGAATAGAACGGTGGCACAGGCCTGGAAGGATTGGGCAACATAGGAGGGTTTCATGAAGGTTTTATGTCTCAGCTGTGTACCTTTAGCGCCCCCTAGTGTGTGTGAAAGCAAAGACAACCGTAATGTTAACATTTCATGGCTCAGGCGCCCCCTTTACCATAATGGAGTTATGTAAAACAATCGCTGCATTTAGCTCTGTTAGCAAACATCCCTCACTTCCTGTTCCCCCCCCCCCCCTACAGAGGCATCAAGCTAGTAGAGGAACTTGTGCAGCAGATGTGTCTTGGTGTTTCTTGAAGGTGGTGACGGGACATGGGCCCTCTTGCAGGTGCCAGTGCTCCTGACCTTTCACTTTCACTTCTGAAGCTGTGCAGACTGCGGTAGGCTGCTGCTATGCACGGATCTCGATTTCCATTCGAGAAACGGAGGGGAAAAAATAACTCTGATGTGTTAGAATGAAAGTTACATAATGTGAGAATTGTGTGAAGTGATAGTCCCGTCCGTTACTGTGGCTGCAGGTGTCATTACATTATTCACAACCGAAATCACACGCATGGGCTTCCCTTATCCCAGACATTCATTAGGAAACATTGAAGATCTGATAGCCCTGTGCCACCGTTCTATTCTTTCATGACAAAGCAAGCCGTGAGACGTAGAACTGAAGGCCGCAATCGGAGTCTCAGGAGCTTTGAAAGAAGAGACCACTCAATTGGGTCTTCTCAGCAAATCGCGTGAGAATGGTGGTATTCTGCAGAACAGTCGTAATGGTTCCGCAGAAATGTTTCGTAAATTGACCAAATTGCCGATATCACCAAAAAATTATACAAATAAATACAAGACTGATTCACCGGAAAAAATAAAACAAGGAAGAACCCCAGTTGTGGTTACGCAGTGTTTTATTAGCTAAAACAGATGCAAATGGGGGAGTTTTCATCCTGCTCTTCTTGACAGTGTGTCTTTGTTGTAACAGGTGTCCATGCTGATGTGTAGACACGGAGAAATGCAATTTGGTTGCTACATTTATTTTAAATCTGCTTTAAATTTCCAGCAGAAATGATACAGAGCATGATAATGCATGTAAAAATCTGCTTTAATTAATTAAAGTATGCGTGTAGTGAGATGGTAAATCGACTAATGTTTTTTTCCACGTACCAACACTAGATGGCGATCTAATTCCTGTCGGATACAATCTCCGGGTACCGGAGAAATTGTCTGCTGTCCGTGACTGAAAGGTACGCATCTTGTATGACGAAAATAAGTACCTGGGGGGGGGGGGAAAAAACCTTTTCAACTTCACCTCAGTTCTACCCCTTAATTTTAGTTGCATTAATTTACATCTTAGATGCAGATTCTGAGTGTGGTATGTTTACATTTGGTGAAATTAAGACAACCATAATTCCTTATCAAAATGAAACTATGCAAATGAAGCTATATTTGTCTATGTAAGACACGTGTAACGATGGTATGTATTCAGCGTGCAGATTTGCCCATTATCAATATCAGCACCACAAATGAATCTCCCCAAATACCCATGATTCATTTGAACAGATTTGTGCTTCACATGTTTTCCTTTATGTCTGACCTTTGTCATGAGGTGAATGGCACTCGGGTTGTTAATGCTGCTATTCCCGCCGCGTGAATCATCATCTTTCAAGTGCTTTTCAGAAATCCATGCAAGAGCAGTGCAGTGCATCCAAAACAAAAAGCCACAAAAGCTTTATTCATTGAATTTTTAAAGGTTTGGTTCGGTTTGCTCTTGCTGAGGTGGAAATCTGTGGTCGTGTGCAAGAAAAGTAACAGAATGTAGTGTTTACAGTTCACCAGGCAAACCAGGTGATAGTCTTTTACAACTCTGCCGCAGTCCCTGTCTGTCTCCATAACAACACATGCATAGTTTTGCTGATATGCAAATGCGTACACTGGCAAAATCCATCCTAAAAAACCACCCACGCCATTTGCAGAACCTCTAAGTACCTATTAAATGTGATGGCTTTGCTCTCTGACACGTGTGTCTGTCTCCAGAGAGAGAAAGAGATGCACCATAGAACATAAAATTCAGAATATGCCTACATCCAATGGGTTCTAAATGCAATGCACATTTAGACAATTTGTCTCCCATCCATCCATTCATTTTCTAAAACTGGGTGGAGCTTCTTATCTCTATTCAGTTACTTGGTTTTTAAATGTAATGTGAATGCGGGTCCCAAAAACACAGATTTACCCTCGTTCTACCGTAATAAAAATATTACAATGGTAATATTCTGTGAGTCTCCCCCTAACCCTCCCCCCCGATCCCACGCTGCCCTTCCTGCTCGCTGACACATGCCTCTCACTCGTGGTTGGGGCGCATTTGAACATCTGAACAGAAGAATGGACCCCGTGCAAACAGGAAGTGTGATTCCAAAACATTAATGGGAATGTTACATTTCGATCCATTTTCTGTACCCACTTATCCTATGCAGCCTCATGGGGGGGCTGGAGCCTATCCTGGAGGCTATGGCTGAAAGGAGGGGAACAGCCCAAGATGGGGCGCCAACCCATGACAGCGCTCTGCACCCGTCTCTCCAGACGCTGACTGACCAGTAGCCAGTCTTTGCGTCAATAAAACGCCACCATGTAACTATTTTTCCATTCTGCGAATGAGCCCAAACCATTATTATGTGTTGACATTAATTACCACATCACCATTTCTAAGATGCCAATAATGCAATATCATATTTAATGATTGATACCAGTTAACACATGTGAACATGTAATGTTTATTTTTACATTATGCTGAAGAATGTGGTTTGGTATGGAGTCTTGGATATGCAGGTAGCTCAAATCGATATGTTTGCTAATTTGCATTGAATATATCGCCTTTCAGCTTCACACAGTGACACTACATATGTCATTCAGTGTAACTGTGTAATGAATGTTAAAAGATTCATGCTTTGTGAAAGAAAAAAAGACGACTGAAAGTCTCCTGTTTTATCAGACCGTGAATGCTATCAGGGGGCATGAGAGTTATGGTGCAACTTATAGTTGAAGACATCAAGTTTAAGCCATGATTTGCATCAACTGAATGAAAACAAGAAAGCAAGTAATTGGCAAATACTCTTTTATTTGCAAACACCATTAAATATTTCTCCATGGCAGTGATATATTTAGATGAATATAATCGAAATCAAAATCAAAGCAACAAGAAACAGGTTAAATTTAGAACTACTATCCTACTGCAGTGATGCAATAAATTACAATACTATTGTACCTTCAAAAATGCATAAGGCAGCCATTGTATTCACACAGAAATACTGATATATTTGATGCAAAACAACATCCCTTTTATATAAATACATTTCATAAATATCTGATATACAGCGTTATACACAACTTCTGAGAGACTTTGACACAAGCTGCAGTGACTGAATAGGAAAACGTGGGGGAAAAAAAGTTCCTGTTCTGAAGAGCATGTCAGATAGTGAAGGGAAGACAATGCATAAGTACAAGGAAACGGTAACGAGCCCGAAGCCACATCCTGCTTCAGCACTTTCTTTTGAATTATATCAGAACAACAACAACAATAATAATAATTTTAAAAGTAACAGGTTGTGGTGGGAAAAAACATGCAAGTTGTCTGCAGGTCCACTTGGGTGGGGCCTGTTTACAGGAATAGGACATTTACAGCTTCCGATCGGTTTTGAGGTTACGATACGAAGGTCTCATCTTCTGCAGCACGTCGTCCACATTCTGCAGAGCTGTGCTCGAGAAAGTGAAACTATTGACAGAAAATAAAATTTGCCAGAAAGTTGCCCAATCGTGTTTTTTTTTTTTGTACAAACAAAAGGCTGGTGATCCCAATTCCTAGAAAATAACTCTAATCAAAGTCGACCTGCTGAATTTGAGAGGCACAGCCTTACTGAATACCATCTGCATGTTCTAGAATTTTATGAATGTGCTTCCACATCCACAGTTAACAGGTGTCTAAATCTTTTTTGAGTTGCGTGAGAGACACATTTGAGGCTAATAGGAGGGAATAGCATACAGCCAGACCACTAGGGGGCGTTCAGCACCCTCCTTCTGAACACCTGAGTGCTCCATGGCAGACAGATATGAAGCAATTACATAACTCCATAAGCAACAAAATTATAAGCATTTCACCAAATATGAGGTACTGGAGAATACATATTACAGGTCGCACTGTGTATGGAGCTGCATGTGTCCAGGACCCTGTTTTCCTCCCACAAATCAAGGACTTGCACTTCAAATGATTCGATGAAAGTGAAATGGCCATATGGCGTGAGGATGAATGTCATGATGGACCTTCCTCCTCAAATCAAAATGCTCACTTTCACGATCATTATAATGATGTAATAGTTCATGAATGATCACAAAACTGAACTCTTTGATTTGGGATAAACATTGTATTTACCTATCAAGATCAGATTGGTTTAAACAAGTACAAGTACATTACTTACGACTCAAATAAATTGCATTAACAGGGAATAAAATAAGGAAACCAAAATATTACATTTTTGCAATTATATTGTACTAGTAAATGATACATAGAAGGAGGAAAACATGTAAAAATGTATGTGTGTATATATATATAAAATTCACTCTATGTAATATGTGTTTATTGAGCTGAACAGCATGTATGTGGAGCTGGGTTATAATCTGATGCTCCATACTATAGTGACTGGGCAGAGTTCAGTGAATCTCAGGCTATAAGCAGTAGTCATTCAATTTTTATACCCAGAAAATAATTTATCCATTAAAAACAATCCCAACTCAAGGTTAAAAAGGAGATATCAATACGGTTATTGCACTCTCATTTCCCAAAACTGCAGCTTGTTTCATTTCTTTCTCCCCACATGCTGTATTTTTAACATTGCGTACAATCGAAAATAGAAGGTGTACAGTGTCCCCTCCCCCACGTTTACACACACACACACACACAGGTTTGTAATTATATCTTTGTGGGGACTCTCCATTCACCTCTATGGGGAAAACCCCTACCTAACCCTAACCTTAAACATAAGTAACCAAACAAAATTAGTTTTATTTTTTGATTGCATGCACTGATCTTTGCAGGGAACTAAAAATGGACCCCACAACATCAAAATAACAGGTTTTTATCATATTGTGGGGGACATTTGGTTCCCACAATGTAATGTAAACTTAATCCACACACACACACACACACACGTAGGGTAAACATATCCTTATGGGGGCCGCTCATTCATTTCAATGGGAAAAATGCTAACGCTAACTATGACAACCTTAACCCCTACCCTGCCCTAACCATAACCATAAGTAACCAAACAAAATACAAGAGTTTTTGCATTTTTAGTTTTTTCATAGCAGTCACCGATTTTTATAAAATAGAGTTTACCGGAAACCGGTCCCCATAAGGGAAAAAAAACGGATATTTATCACGTTATGGGGACATTGTGTCCCCATAAGGATAGGTAAACCCGCTTGCACAAACACACACACACACACTCACACACACACTCACACACACACGCACACAAACACACACACACACACAATGCCTTGCCATTTGGTTGATCATTAGGCAGTAGCAGAATCATAATAGCATCAATGGAATGGATATTACTTCATATATTACATACAGTACTTCACTGGAAGAACGGAAAACAAAGTGCTCTGTGGACTCCCACATGAGAACGACAACATCGGGATAATTTCCTCACCCAGAGGTTAAACCTCTACCGATGATTAATTTGCGGCTGTGAAAATCCACGGACTGAATCACAAAACCTCCTCACACAAAGAAAGAGGCACACGGGCAGTGGGAATGGATTATGTTAGATCCAGACCCAAAGCGTGTTCCTACAATTTCTTTCTTATGGAAGTTACGCCACCGAAATATATAATCCTCACACTTATAAACCGGAGCAGCTGTGATTAAATGTGATTTATCAGCACAGATAGAACAATTCTCATTCCAGGAAAAGTAGTACAAAAACATCAAAATGTAGATTGTATCAAAGAGACTGGTTGTATTTTGTTTTTAAACAGACACTGAGTGACAAAATTTTGTGCTTTACAAAGAGCAATAAAGAAAATTAGTCTTCTGAAATGCTCAAAAATGTGGATTAATAAATATAGACCTGACCTCCACATGTGCCACTTGGGCCAGTAACTTCGAAGACATGCGCTGATTACAGCAATTCATACTCAAAGTTAATGCGTGATGTCTCGACTTCGTAATATTATCTCGAGCAAAAACAAAGCGATAAAAAGAATATATATCAAAAGTAGTAGAAGTTGGTTTGCCCTTCTGAAGAAACGGACGGCATGAAGAACTCAGGAGCGTGACAATGGGAGAACGCAGAGTCAGCGGCGGCCATGCTGACTTGGTGGCAGTGCAAACAGCCCTCACCGGAACAATGAGATGAAGATGACGCCCATTCATGGCGATGGGATACCCCTGCCCCCCCGACCCCCCCCCCCCCCTTATCCCAGCATCGACCCAGTCAGCTGATCGCTGCCTTCAAGCAATCTCCTGCTCGTGCCCCGGAGTTCAACCTGCGATGCGAGAGCGGAGCACACAGTCACACAAACGGAAGTGGAGACAGGATGGCAGCAAACACAGCGGCATGTTTAACGTTTGCGCTCAGCTCAGCCAGGGCTGGACAAGGGCTCTGTGGGCTTTTACGCTGATTAAATATAATGTTTGACCAACTTTATATAGTTCCAGAGGAATTATCTTTAAATCCACTGAAAATTCAATTGACATTTAAGCCTTGATTTATGTGTTGAAAATTGTATAATTTGGCATACATTTTATTTAATATGTTTAGTAATCTGTTGTGTAATAAATACCAATACAATAACGCTTTCTATGAATGGCATGTGTATAAGAATCTATGAACACATTATAACACATTATAATGCATTCATAAAGCATTATAAACACGGCTATAAACATTAAAAAAGCAAAACACATTATAGGCACGTTAAGTATGCATTATGAATGCTTTATGAAGCTCTTATCTATAATGCACTATAGATAATTTCATAATGCAGGACAAAGCATCCTTAATGCTTATACTGACCATTATAATGCATTATAAAGATATCAATAGTGCATTATAGATCAGAGCTTCATTGGAGTTTATAAAGTATTAAAAATCAACACTTTAATACCTTATGACTGTCAATAGGAAATGCTGTAATGCTTTATTAATTCTTATAATGACCATTATAATGCATTATGAAGGTATGTATAGTGCATTACAGATGTATGTAAAGTGTTACCACAAATACCACAGAAGTATGAACACACATGGCTGTGTGTTTAGTCTCAAGTGACAATATCTTTCACCCAGTTTCTTCAGCTCTGACTCTGTCTGACAAACAGTTTGACAGACGGCTGATACATTACAGAATATCAGTCAGAATGAAGGCAGTCTCTGGAGAAGCCAGCATGTCACAGTCATGGGGGTGATGATGTGTGGTTAGGGCACTAGACGGCTGCCTGACAGGGAACTGACCTCGCGTCCTCATTTGGCGATAGCGGAGGGCGACCCCGAGCGGTGGAAGTGGACGATCTGCCACTTGCCGTCACGCCGGTGCCAGATGCGGGACTCCTCGGACTGGGCGGTGCGAGGCATCCCGTTGGTGTCGATGTACTGGGTGATGCGGACGTAGGCGATACAGGCGGCTTCGTCGCCGACCAGGTGGATGTGCGGGTTCAGGATGGTGGTGTGAACCGGCTTGCTGTTCTTTGACCACACTGGCCAAAGCAAAAGCGCATAGGATATGCAAGTAACGTTACACGTGCATATAAGGTTAAATCAATGCATGACGATATTAACTGCAGTGTCTGGTGTAGCATCCATTAAAGCCCTGTTCTGTCACTGTTACACAAGTTACACTGGAACCTGGTTATTCAGAAGAAAAATGATTTTCACTTGAAGACTGCAACTTTGTTGCCACAGGGTGAGGCTAATAGGAGGGGACACTATGAGCTCGGACAGGGTTTGTAAACTACCATTTCAATTAAAAGGACCTGGATTTCACTTTAGTTCTTGCTGTGTGCTGGTTGGTCAGTCTCCTATAATCATGCCTGTGTCACTAATGTTAATGTGAAACAGCTGGATGAGTCTTTCAAGCCAGCAAACAAAGCTGTAAAAGTACAAGATGAATTGATGTATTTAACCAAGCAGGGGAGCCTTTCAGTTTTAAAGCAGTTTGTAAAACCTGAAGCAGCTCATAGTGTGTCCCCTGATACGGATTAGGGGGTCCCCCTTGGTATCACATCAGGCACTGTTTTCATTATACTGTTTCTTTTTTTTCCAATAATTTCTATTTTCTAACGTGGACCAGTATCAGTTTTTGCACTAGTTTTTGTCTTAGTGAGATCGTTATCATTTCTGGCCGTCTTTCCCATACTTTCTGCTGTCCAAAATCTGGTTTGTGTTAACATGTTTTTTTTTCCACTTAATTCATTCAATTTTATTTTCACAAGGCATTTGTCTCTGAAAAGATTCTGCATGCTGCTCAGGCCCAGCAGTGCAGCAATGTACAGAGCTCTGCAGTGAACTTTAAAGGTTGTGGTCAATTATCTACTCTGATTTGCTTTGGGATGAGAACCCTTTGGGAAGAAAAGGATAAGTGTATATCCAATTTTATATCCTCTTTGAAACCACTGTTTCAACTACTGTGTAAAATTACTCTGTCTACACAACAAAATCTATAGCCAGGACTATTCATTTTATTGGCTGGGTTGGGAGAGACTATAACTGGAAATCTTTGGTATCAGTGTAAAAGGTTTGCATTAACATTGCTGCTGTCAATTCCATTTAAACCTCACATTTGAACAAAGCAAAGCACAAAGCCACAGCCAGAGGTGGAAATTTCAGGTCCACAAAACACAAATGCGAACCAATGTTTTGTTTCAACCAACAAGTTGAGTATTAAGGGTCACAGTCACAGAGTACTCAACTAGTTGGTTGAAACAAAACTTTGGTCTGGATTTGTACTTTCTGGACCTGAACTTTCCACCCCTGTGTACGTCTCTGTTGATTCAGACACAGCCAATGCTGTCACCCTGGCTTACAATTCTCAAAGTAGAAGCGGTGAAAATCCAGGCCCTCCACCAGGTTTCCCAGGGCCTCGGGTTCGAAAGCCGTGACACTCGGGTCACACATCTTCCTGTGGGGAGCCAGGGATAAAAACGATTCAGGAACCCTAAGTGTCTGATTCAGGAACCCTAAGTGTCTGATTCAGGAACCCTAAGTGTCTGATTCAGGAACCCTGTGTCTGAGCACTAATTTGGCAGTGGAAGCCGTGACATGTTAGCAGCTCCAGAATTTGTAGTGACCCCACCCCCCTCCCCCAACACATGGAGCCATTTTCTCAAATATTTAAAGACACGGGAACATGAACTGGAGCAGAAACAAGATTAACAACACAGAAGATCCTCCTACAGATTATTTGTGTCTTTAGCATTTGATAAGCCCTTAAAATGCTTCCCATCTTGTCCCCATATTGTTGTATAATTTTGTCTTTCAATCAACATATGGGTAAAAAAAAAAAATCTAACAGTAATATCTCTCATTAAGCAGACAGAAAAAATGTTAAAATGAATGTTAAGGATCTAATTACATCACAACCAGAGAGTACAAAATGCCAGTAAAACCTTAACTTAACTTAAATTCCATTCAAATAACTTCTTAGTGACTCCTAACTTAAGTGCTGATTTATTAATGTACTCAAGGTTTTCAAGTCAATAATTAAAATAACGACAGTCTGAGATTTGTCAGACAATTTAATATGAAGTTGGGGGTATATAGAGAGCTAACAGAAAGTGACCTTTTCTCTTCTAGCAAACAGTTGCTTGACAGAAGCGACCCGTAAGTTCTAACTTACGTGTAACTCTCGAAGTCTCCATTGCTTATGGCTTCAATGAGCTGCTCCGTCACCTTAATGATCTCCTGTTTCCTCACTGCGCGAGACAGACAACATAAACACACACCCCAGCAGAATCCCCAAACCTTCTTCAGTGACTTTCCAGAAAATACTACAAAGAATTTAACGACAGTCAGTGAATCGTTTGTTTGTGTCAAAAGCACCACAATAGCAACGACAGTGTTTCATAAAAAGCACTGCGGGAATCGCATAAAAGCTTCATGATAGTCTGCGGCGTCGCTGACTATATACCTGAGCTGGTACCTGAGCATGTGTATATTTATACAATATGTAAAATATACATGCCACACGCAAATGCCATGCAGTGACATGAAAATGCTTATGGAGGTGTTTCTGTCTACGATTTCAGAACCATAGGTGTATAAATTAATGCCATATTTGATTTTTTTGGCAGAAACTGGCTGAAATTATTTATCCGAGTTTGAGTTAGTCTAGAAAATTGAGTGTTTTTATTTTTCGAGCTTTGCTGTTTGAGAATTGAGACTTAAATAAATCCCACAGCTTAGCTAAGCCAGAGGATTACTTATAACGTAAGCCTTGATCTGCACACATATTGTCTATGTTTAGCCTGCTGTTAATTACTCTTTATGTGAGGTTCACCAAAAACAGGCAGGAATTGGTCAGAAAAGCCCTTTATCAGACGGACTCTTACGCTGACAGGTTATAGTGATTGATTCGGTGTAGCTGTGTCTGCCTCCTGTGTTTACTTGTAGGTGTTTTTTGGATTGTTTTGACAAATAAATGTTTTTGGAATGTGATGTTGTACAATCTTGAAATGATGACAACAGTCACACATAAAGGACTTTATGCCACCTCTCACTGTGCTGAGGAGTGTCTGTACATGCTTAGTCATGCACCTTTGTGTGTATATGTGTGTCCGTCTGAATAATGCCTCTGTTAGCTTTTACGCCGGCATTACGCTGTGTATACGTGGTGTGTGTGACCTCTGTGTTTGGTAATTCAATGGTAATATTGAGTTCTGCGACCGTGAGCAGCTCTCCATTCCTCCAGAGGTCTTCTTCATACAGCAGGCCCTGCCTTTAATCTGAATCTCAGCAGGAGTGGGTGTCATCGGCTGGGGAACGCGAGGGGCCAGGAAACTCGCACTCAGGCCCTCGCTGGTGCACAGTGTGCGTCTGTGTGCGCTCCTGCGCGTGTGACTGAATGCATGTAGGTGTAAGATATCCCTGGTGGCGGGAGGGGGGGGCAGCCTCAAACAGTATGCCCCCTATACTAACCCAGGGGGAGGGGGTCCTGCACGCCTACCGCCTTGTGAATTACAGTCTGTCTGGGCTTCCTGCTCCTTCACTATATCCCTCTTATGAACCTCAAATGTGGACATAAAGGAAGTTAAACCCTTAACAGCATGCTCTGAATTTCATACCCGAGGGTGCTGCTGTTAGGATTATCTTATCATTATTACATTATATATTACACTTCTTTTCTAATAATAATAACACTTTATTGATCCCTGTCAGGAAATTCACTTTTCGCCGACCGCATCTTGCTCTCCATGACACACATGTAGGTGAGAGGAAGCTTGGCTGCGAAGGGCGGCAACCTGCAGGGGAGCCCATGGGGCATAAGCACCTACAGACACAGCTATTCTGTTAAAGCTGGACTCAAACCAGCAACCTTCCGGTGTAACCCACTGGACCACGCACTGCCCCCACTGGACCACACACTGCCCCCACTGGGCCACGCACTGCCCCCACTGGACGATGCACTGCCCCCACTGGACCACGCACTGCCCCCACTGGGCCACGCACTGCCCCCACATGGTGCTTTCTCTACAGTGTGGTATATCTATCCCTGAATCTGACACGCGCACAAAGCAAAGATTTTCACAAATTCTGCCGTTTCTTAACCAGCATCCTTTCCAGTCACAATAGCAGACGTCTGAGTGTCATCCTGACCTCTGGTGTCTTCATCCTCGATGGTCGTGTTGCTGCTTTCCGAAGACTCCTGCAGAGGAACACACACAGGAAATGAGAGCCTGCTCGGAGTATATATACACGCAGAGCGTCGCAGGACGTTTTGTCCTCCATGCTGGAACCTTGGGGGGAAAAAACAGCCTCGGTTGGAGTAAGGGATTGGATATGGGAATGAGAATGGCCGTCTCTGGAGCGAGTGCCTGGCCGGCCAACGGCATTTGAGTTTACCGGAAAGACAATTCTGACAACATCAAGAATGAAATGCAGCCACAGCGATGACAGAAGACAGCAGAAAGAAAGTCCAGCTCCGCTCTGAAGCTCAGGCTTGTTCCCATGTGCCAGCAGTCATTCTCCCACTTGTTTAGCCTCCCACGGCCTGGCCAAGAGGGGGAGCTATAGCACACTCACCATCAGCTGCACATTGGGACTGGACTTCCTGTTCTGGAAGAGAAATGAGGAGATGGATGAGATGGAAACCTGAACACGACACAGTGGGGGGGGTGGGTTGGGTTGCCAGTGAGCTCGGTCACTGTGAGTGTGCGTGTATCTCTGCGTGTCTGTGATATCACACCCGTGAGATCCCGTCACCGCTGCCTCATGGGGTCATCCAAGCTCCCTACAGAAAGGAATGAATTTCATAAGACTGGTGCTGATGTCTCTCTCGGGCCCATGTGTAGCCCCCCCCCCCACCCCCCAGGTGTCTTCTCGCCCCCAGCCACTCATATGTTGGGTGTGTAATGGTCATAAGCAGGCCGCTGACACAGACAGGAATATACCAGCATACATGAGCGTCAGCAGTTGCGCCGTCTCTCTGCATCATACCTCCGATGCAGGAAGGTGGTGTCCTGTGCTGAATTTTACACTGATAGACGAGTCACCGCACATCACTCAGACGTAGCCAGTCTCAGGAGGACAAGACAGACGCAGCCAGTCTTAGGAGGACACGCCCTCTCAGCCTCTTTTGTTCGATTTCGAATTAAGATTCTTCGAATTAAGCGGTGCATCAAAATTAACGGAGAACTAAGAACTCAAAGGTAGTGGAGACATGGCTTTCCTGGGGTTCCCCAAGGTTCACCTCAACATTCAAAGGGGCAGAATAGTGGAACTTGCCATGTTCTGCTTTGGGTCTGTGTGAAATCAACACCCTGGACGCTGTTCCCCAGAACCTTTCAGAACCACAGGAAGTGTTCATACAACACAGACTCACCATAAACAGAGACTGCGATGGGTCACTCACTGTGAACTGAGACCACAGAACAACCACTTAAGAGAGAGACAGACGATGCCTCTGAATCAGACCATCTTGAAGTGTAATCCTTTAAAAATCAGAACGGTAAAAGGAAACACTTGCAGTTTTGTGTTCTACTTGCTACTAAGTGCTACTTAGCGAAGTTACTAAGTGCAAATTCTTTTAGTGCTAAAAAAGTTCACTCTAGATAAATTTTATCAGCAAGCCAGGGCGGCATCTACATCGTCGCTCTCTCTGAAACGCCGCTGTTCTGAGCTGTTTCGCAGTAAGTGACTCACAGTCACAAACGTAACCTTCTCCTCTCTCCTACCTTCACGCCATCAGTCTTCTTATTGGCTACGGTCTTAGCTCCTGAGCAGAAAATAAAGAACAACAGAAAGGTGGCGATCAGAAAAGGAACGAAAGCCCAAAACAATAGCGCCAAAGGCATTTCAGAATGGCAGTCCAGACCCGCGGGGCGTCCAAAAACCGATCGACCGAAAGAGATTCCGCCCAGCGCAGAGCCCCCGTGAACACGCCACGACCAGATCCACGTTCTCCTGTAACCATAAAAGCGGCACACAGGCACGGTCGTCTTCCATCAGATAGCGCAAATGGTTGCAAGACAAAATGAACGTCTATTGAAAATTCAGAAACGTTGGAAGCCTGATGCAGCCTTGAGGGTCGTTCCTGAGGAGTTCAACCAGAACTCTGCAGAATCCAGGCCTGAGCAGGTTCTAGTGAAATGATTCTGTAGCTTCTGATAGTAACTGCATTGACCCCTTTTAACTATTGTAGTTAAGTGTTAGTGTTTCTTTCTCTCACATTCCCTCCATCTCCCGTTTCTCTCTTTATTTGAAATCCCCCCTCAAAGAGACCAGCCTGGATGTTTTCTCTGTCATTTCAATTGACACTTGTCTAATTATAGCCCCCACCTTGGGTGGGTCATGTGGATATCCCATCATACAGCAGCTGGGGAGGGGGTTGTCCAATGCCCAATCCCCCAAGCTGGCTTTGCAGCCCCTTCCTGTCCCTGTGTGAAATGCCACATCAGGGGACAGAAGCAAATGGGGCATCTGCCAGTCTGGTCAGTCTGAGGGGCAAACAAAGCAAGTGGCCCCAGCCAATCAGCAGTCCGTTTCCTGTCCAGAAACAGAAACAGCAGGCTTTATGTTTTGCTAGCAACGTTGCAACAATGGATTGTTTGGCGTGAAAATGAAATGGCTGTTAGCGTTTGCATGCATCGAAAGGTTCCACACTCCACGAAGTCTCTGAGGTAGCGACTGGCAGACTGTGCTCACATTCCCTGGCATATTGACGGAAGTCTATTCCTGATCGTCGGAAATTCCTGGCCGGCTCTGTCATGCCATAGCTTATGTTAACATCTGACACATCTAATCCAGCATTAGAGCTTCAGGGCAGTTAGGTATCCCCATTTCATCCGGGTGAGGCCACAATGCTTTCCGCTAACGAATAATGAGTCATTTCATGCCCTGGTTTTCAGGATGAGGGCAATTTATAAAGTAAAAAGCTGCCATGGGCTGTAGATTTGTACAGACAATCAAAAGCATTATCCAGCAAAACTGGACACAAGGTTACAGGTCCAGATCAGAGGATGAGGACTAATGTTACATCCCTGAGTAACATAACAGCTCCTGTAAATATTCTACTGAACAGATGAATAAAAGGCAAATTATATGCAAGTTGTGGTCTGCAAGTGACTGTGGGTGATTGTCATGTACTAAGAAATTTGCTTGTTTTACTTACACAAAAATATTCTGAGGGCAGAAGGAAACATCCAAGCAAGTAGAGGAGGTTGGACCAAGACCTCTGATTGGTTGGTCCAGCCTCCTCTAGTTGCTTGGACCCACCTCTACAATCTCATTGGTTATCTCACTGAATCAATAATTTTTCCTTCTGCTCGCAGAACATTTTAACATGTTAAAACTCCCATGAGCAAAGAAATTTGGTAACAACAAATCAAATGCACAGAATAGAAACAAGAGGAGTGCAATGCATAAAAATCTGCATTTTTAACAGGTATCCGTCCTGAAGCTGGTTTGTTCATATTGCAGAATTCCCATTCTGCTGTGCAATGCAGCTGTATCCATCAAATGTAATCTGCAGGGCCTCTGAATGGGAGGGTGGCTAAACTATGCAAACTTACTCGGTGTACTGTACGAGTTTAAAGTGAAATGCCTCAGCTTCTGTTGTCCTTCATTTCTGTGTTTAAAGGCCCTTCTTGTGGGAGAGTGGGGCCGCAATGACGAGGCGCCCAAATACGTAACGGAAGCACCACTGGCCTCGAGAAACATGACAAAAATAGGAACCCGGTATCACCTTTACGTTCCACGAACCCGCATTCCGGTTAGGATATGGTTCACTTACCCCGTTACGTGAAAAACTCACCATTCATCTTCCCCGTCCCTTTTATAAATCGACTTCCGTATCGCTTGCCTCAGAAGCGGTAGGCTAAGAGGTTTCGTTATAAGTGGCTCACAGCAAGTTAACGTGCCACATAGTTAAGCCAGGCTGGCTGTCACACCGGCCCGTTTCAGAGCCTCAGAGCACATAGTGCATGATTGTGCAGGTCAGCCACATGTGAAACAATTCAGCTCTAGATTCACAGCTGGGCTGAAGTTCAAACGGTGCGGCCCTGGAGAAGGTATCACCTCAATATTTACCTGTAAAGTTTCGTGTTGCCAACATAGTGGTAAGAATAGCACCCTGGAAGACAAGAGAAAATGGGTCAATCATATTGAGAAGAGTCTGCTGTTGTCACAAATGAACATCACAAGCTGCCACAGCAAGGACATAGCTGACGGCACTTTCTGTGACGGTGACAACTGTGGACCTGTATACTTCTGCTTTGAAATAATTTTTTAAATTATCCTCCAAAGTAACAAGTGCCATGACAGACTGAAGATGGAGAATCGTATGAACAAAATGGTTCCTGGAATCTAATGTTAATTTAGACTAAAAATGTTATGGGTTGTGTCTTTGTCTGTATGTGTGTTTTTATGCTTTGTGATGGGTTTATAGGTAAACTCATACAAACAACCTCAGTCGTCCTTTCTGGACACAGGACCAAACACGCAAATAAAGTCTCTGACCTTTAGTGGTTAAATGTTACATATGTATCTTGTATCTTTGTGAAACATCCTTAAGGCATAAAATATATGCTTCTCTGTACCTTCAGCTTCCTGCGTGCATTGAACTTCTTCAGGCATTCCACCGTCTCCTGTCTGTGCATGCAGGAGGCCACTGTGGAGCGGTGCTGGTGGGGAAGAAGAGGCAGGGGGTGAGGTCAGAGACAAGGAGGGCGTGGTCACAGACAAGGAGGGCGTGGTCAGAGACAAGGAGGGTGTGGTCAGAGACAAGGAGGGTGTGGTCACAGACAAGGAGGGCATAGTCAGAGACAAGGGGGGCGTGGTCAGAGACAAGGGGCAGGGTCAGAGACAAGGAGGGCGTGGTCAGAGACAAGGAGGGCGTGGTCACATACAAGGAGGGCGTGGTCACAGACAAGGAGGGCGTGGTCAGAGACAAGGGGCAGGGTCAGAGACAAGGAGGGCGTGGTCAGAGACAAGGAGGGCGCGGTCACATGCAAGGAGGGTGTGGTCACAGACAAGGAGGGCGTGGTCAGAGACAAGGGGCAGGGTCAGAGACAAGGAGGGCGTGGTCAGAGACAAGGAGGGCGCGGTCACATGCAAGGAGGGTGTGGTCACAGACAAGGAGGGCATGGTTACATACAAGGAGGG